ACATGAGTTATCTGTATGACTGGTCGAGTTTCTTCAACACGAAAGTGAATTGAATTGTCCTGGTCAGTCACAATGCTTTTAAACAACATTCAGTTCAAACTGATCAAACAGGTAATGAATGACCTTCAGCCGCGATTTGAAATGGATTTGAAAAGCTCGTACCAGTAGGCCAATTCGCGTACAATCAGCGCACATAAGCATAACACAGAGATGCATGCAATGAGTAGATAAAAACACGAGTTGATTGGGCAAGACGGAAAAACCGAGTTTTGAATACCGTTAGAAGAAAGGTGTACACTACACCATCATAAAATGAACAAACTGATTGAACGTATACGTGCGGAATGTGGAAAGCTATTTGTCTTATCCGTGTTGCAGCAGTAGAAGGGCCGATATCTAGGCCACTATTGCGCAACACCACGAGCCAACTTTTTCAGGGAAGTGAATAGAAAATGTTCAGGTGGGTTGAACACTTCGATGGGTTTCTTAACCACCATCAAACCACCATGGCTACCCACAGGTGTCAATCAGTTCGGAAACGTACGACATCAGTTATAATCCACTTGGGAGAAATTGTCAATGAAGCCACTGCTCTGAAAAACAGGAAGGCCCCTGGAAAAGACGGGATATAACCAGAACTATTTAAAGTTTGACCACAAACCTTCATAGATCCGCAGTATTCGCTTTTCCACTCCATCTGGACGAACAAAGTTTTCAAAAAGATTGGGCGCAATTTCAATTTTAGTCCTGGGTAGAAAAAGGTGAGAGACTGAGATGCGCACATTATAGGGGTATCAGCCTCATTGGTATTGCGGCCAAGTTCTTTGTAGTGATACTGCTTAACCGCTTCGCAGTCGTCAGAGCTAACAGCACCTGCCCGAACCAAATAGGATTTCGCCGTGGAACCGGCTGCGTTGAACAACTCTTTACTCTCCGTAGGATTCTACACCTTTTTCAATTTAAGATGTCCGAGGACCAATTTAAAATATCATGTTGCTATGTGGATAGGGCTGTGCGATTGTCCCGTCGTTTCACATTGTCTTGTGATGCTCTTGTTGTCACGTCTAGTCCATCTGTGTGGGGAAGGCACACCTGCTGTACGGTCGAAGTTCACTGGGTCTGTCTAAGACTGGCGGCTGTAAAGGTGTGGTTTCTCGCTCGGGTTAGCTAGGCAAGCTCCCGGTCCCTTGTTCCGGCTGAANGGCTGAACTATCCGACCGATCGATAAATGAACCCGATCGGTCGTGTGATCTTCGGACCGGTATAAGCGGCGGATAAGCACTGAATTCGATGCTGCTTAAGTGTTGGAAGAGAATCACCACAGGAGAATTAGTTGTGGAACGATGCGCCATGTGGGAAATTTGGAATGGAAAAAGTTTAAGCGATGAAGACACGGGCTAACGTTTGACTTGTCTAAGATACACGTACTATTTTTCTAAGCCCGTTCGGTAAACGGACAATCATAATAATAAAACTTGTCTTAAGTACAGATTACAATATTCACTAATATAAGCCAACGCAAAACTCTTCTTGGAGTTTTACTAACTGATGTTTTTCCGTTGAACGATCCTGTTAACTACGGATGAGGTAGAATTCCGAAAGAAAAAAAGAGTGAATATTATGGAAAAATGCATATTTATTTTGTAAAAGTTGTTTAATGTGTTCCATTCTGCTGTTTGTATAGCAAAATACGGCAAAGATAGTTTTCTTCCACCTTCAGAATAGTAGCAGTTGTAATACTTTCGCACTGAACCGCCTGTGCGAATGATTGAGTTTCAGTTTCAGCTTGTGCAAAATTCTAGTTGGCGCCTAGGATCCATGACACGAAGTTCTTGTTGCTGAGCATGTTTGAAGGGACGAAAGGTGTTTTGTTACAATTACCTCTGAACCTTTGTGTTGCATCTTGCCATCCGATGAGATTCTCGAAAGCTCCATCAATGCTTTAAAAGCCGTAATACTGAAGTACGCGGGCACGCTTACGTACCTGCGGAGAAGAATCAGCTGAGTTTTGGAGTCAGGCAAGGTTGTCCCCACAGCCGATGTTAATCAATTGCACCGTAGATTGGCTAATGTGACAAGCACTCGTCGACTAACCCGGAGTGCAGCTGGTCCCAGGTACATGGATCGCTTGCCTCGAGCTTGCGGATGATGTCTTTGTCGTACTTGGAGACACCAGCCTTGTGTCAGTCGCATTAATCAGATTGCCCAGACCATTCGGCTAAAGGTCAACATGTCTCTTTAAAACCGGAGTTAATAATTTCGAACCTCCAAAAAATAAAAATAAAGACCATATTCCATCTGGGCTTCTATCCAGAGTTTAAATTATTGAAAGAGGCCCCCTAATTTTGCCGTAAAACAACAAACCCACAACCGATTTCTCTTAACTTGAGTATGTTTGGAACAAATACCATTCCCTACAATCAAACAACCAGTCGAATCAAATATCCATGTCTTGTAGGTTCTCGATCACTTACTTGGGCTGAACTAAGTGACTGTTTCTACTACGTTCAACGTTAGCTCCACCACCAGCAGATTAGGAGCACCCGAGTTTGCAAAAGAAATGAGTATTCGAAAAGTTAACCCGAAATTGAGTAAAATAAAACGCCTTTTTCGTTCCCTTTGTCCCTGGAAAGAATATCTAATTAGTAATTTATTACTCATACTACATATGATTGTCTTCACTATGCATGTGTTGAGGAACAATTGTAATCTGATCAGAAACGCCTCACTTATTGCTAACAGGTTTGCATTGCAGTTACGCAACAACGGCTTGCAAGACGAAGCAGGATCAATTATGTATATGGTTGTCATGATGTGTTTTGCGATTGATGACCCCGGATTACGTAGGAAAGGCTTCAATACTGAGTGTGGGTTGCGTCATCGACTACAGTAACCACTTTACAATTTGGCAGTTTTGTAAACAACAGTGTTGATTGTTGTTTTTGTAGCTCGGGTAGTATAACTTGGTGTTTAGTTGTTCGCCGAGCTTGGCAATTGTATTGCAAACGTTTCATCACCAATCGAGGTGACATTCTCAATTCAGTAACTGAGTGAGCGCTTACGAGTGTCCCTTTCCTTATATAGGCCATTCAGTCATGTAGAGATGTGACGTTGCCTGATTGGCTGATGTTTGTTTGCCTTGTGCCGATAGGGGATAAGCTGGACGCGAGCAGTCTGACGGCTGGTTGTTGATCGATCGATCTAACTGTTACTGTTGTCCTATTGTGAACTGTGGCACGATCCACCTTCTTTGCGCTGATTGGTCGTTTTGTCGCATGAGGGTGTAGACTTGATCGATGTCATTGTGTCGGTTGACCGAGTTTTCCGATGAATACCAAGCTTCCAGAAATTCTCTTGGGTGCTTGGTGCGGGCCTGATCGACGAATTTGGTGTTTTCGAAATCGAAGTTGTGTCCTTCTTGGTCCTCGTGAATTGAAATGAGTGAGAGTGTATCGTGTCTTTTGATGACCAATTTGTGTTCGTGCACGCGAGTTGCTAGTTTTCTCCCCGTTTGACCAATGTAGTGCTTGCTGCAGTCCTTGCAACTGATGCGGTAGATCACATTTGTTCGATTCCGAAACCCTATATAAACATTGTCTTTGTCTGCAGTAGGCATCAGTTGAGATGCACTGAAATCGTCCAGGACATAAAACGTGCAATGATACTATACTGGCTTCTCTTTTCAAATTCGTCAAGGGAAAAGCTTGTTTCAACAACAGTAATAATAATCTTTTAAAGTTTTTCAATAAGTTATTGTGCACACGGTTTCCTAGGGTGGAGTTTGCGGTCAATCAAAATTGCTCCAGGGGATGTGGTACGGAACATGAAGAAGATGGAGGATGGGGGCTTGATTCGGATAAACTACATCTGGGCGACTGTTTCAAATACGTTTATTCATTGACTTTTGTCTCCTACACAATCAATGTTTCGATTATCTAGAATGCCATTGATCCCCTCCAATAAGCAACGTAGATGAGCAGGAAAGATCCTCTCCCTTCCCCCTCCACGTGTACAATTATTCTTTGCATCTTGCCTCAAACTACAATGTAAGAGCTAACCAGAAAGACTCAAGCATTAAATTTTGATACGCTTCATTTTCTGTATTCACGGAAAAGCAGATAGATTCTGCCAATCGGGTTATGTTCCGTCTGATCTCTATTTCTTGACCATCATCTGGTGGCTCGCGTCAAGCTCTGCAACTGTTCACTTGCTCACCAATCAGAGACAAAAGGAAATGCACTTCCGAAATGTTTCGATACATTAAATTTGTGTGTTTGTATTCGTGTGCGTGTGTGTTTGTGTGTGTGTGTGTCTGTGTGTGCTTCAGAGGAAATAGAACAAATTTATACGGAACGAGCATATGGAAATCAGTGAACGCTGCGGGACGAGAGAATTAGGTAATAGTGGTCTGTCTGCACAGGACCGAGATAAAAACAGGTGACAGGTAAGTGCTGATTGGTCAGGCAGAGCAGGGGAATAACCAAATAGAAACAAATTCAAGTGATGGTGCTTTTTTTGCGCACTCTCTCCGAGCTCCATAATCAACTAGGACAAAAACAATAACAACAACAACGACAACAACAACAAGAACAGCGACAAAAAATCTGATTCAGTATTGCATGTCTTTCTGGGTGTATCTGTATCTGTGTCTGAAACGATTTGTTCATAGAAATTGGACAATTATGTAAATTCCGTTTTTGTTTCAAAAGAAAGTGAAATTGCGGACGGGTTGCGGGGGCAGAGGATGAACGGCTGCAGGTTGATTAGTTGATTGATCGAAATTGAATAATGAACAATAACATTGGGATGGAATTGGAGGTATTAGTCAACGACAGAGACAGAAGTGAAAGAGAGAGAGGGAGAGAGAGATTCACCGCAATTCTCCCCTCTGTCTCACACACATACACACCTCCATTGGTTGCTTCCTCACGCTGCGCACAGCTACTCCGATTGCTCGAACAGGCACATGGCCAATCACGTGTTATATACGGCAAGATAAATCATGTCTTTTTCTTTCCCTCCTTCGTTTGTGCTAATAACCGATACAGATGTTCATCGTTCAGGCAACCTTGAATAAATTCCTCTTTTGTCAGAACACGATCACAATTGGCATCCATTTTCTTGAAAATTGCGCGCGTTCTCTCGGCCGGACTATTCCCGTCCCGATTGTCCACTTCACCGACCATGAGATGAATTGCCTGGAGTAGCCGGTGAGGGAGAGGGGCGGGGGGAGGGGGGGGCGGAGCAATCATGTGAACGTGGTAAACAAAATAATAATAATAATAATGAAAATGAAAATGAAAATTAAATTATGGAACATTTTGATCCCGTATTTGAATTTGAACAAGCAAGTCAGAAGACAAACACTGCGAGATAAACATCGACCAGGGCTACTCTCGAGGTATTATCAATCGCTCAGAACATACCCACACGGTGTGTCCAAAAGCGTATGACCTTTACCCGGTGACTCGCATGGCAGCACACAAGCAAACTACCCACGCGAGCATCAGGTGGTTGACTTAACCTTTTTCATTTTGTCTAATCACAATAATCATGATTACTGCTCACTGCTGTAGGCATCTCATCTCACTCATCCTAACCGGGATCAGTATAAAATGTCCAAGTTACGGCAGTAATTGTTGTATCACTTATGAACCTAAGTGATTAAATGGGTGTGCTGAACAATGTTGTGGGAGGATGGGGTTTGATTAATCGAATTGTTGTTTTCTTCTCAAAGGATAACGTGTGTTGTTTAATCTGTTGACTTGGTCTGCCATCGATCGATTGTATCAGAAAAGATGCCATATTTTCTTTATTACACACCAGTGTATGATGAACAACGGACTGGGTGGAAACCATAGTCACGCGGACCTGCTGTTCAGTGATGAAAACCTGCAACCTAACACCCGGGACTTGGAATGGTAAACCACATAAAGCTCCGTTAGGTTAGGCGTGATATTGACCCGGAAGACAACAAAGCCACCTAACACCACCGAAGTTGAGTGGCGATGGCGGGGCTCGAAACCTGGGACCAGAGGGTCCAACGCACGCCGGTGACAACGACTAAACCACTGAACTGCCGCCACCATCTTTTTCAAATCACATTTCACTGTTCTTTGTTCCAGTGAGCTCGGGTGGTGCTCTATTGTTCAATCTGTGGTGATTTGGCCTACCTGGTTTGTCTCACATGAGCAAGCACACAGAATGTGGTAGTGATCGCGGTTCAGACAGACAGAAAGAGAAGTGACCGTGATACGAGCGTAATACCTGTTTCTCTCAATAGTTTGTATTCATCATCATCATAATCATCAAATCATTGATCCGCAATCGGGTCAAGCGAAGTGGTATACAGATTTGATTTCCACTGTTTGACAATCGCTCCAGGGTTTGGTGATCCTCATGCGCCCCGTGATCAGCAAGGTTTCTGATCATGCATGATCCAGAGTTTTTTGATATCAATTACCTAGGCACTGATTTCTTCCTCGTTTCCTTTGGATAAATGTGGATATTTACGCAACAACAACCAAGCATGGTTGGTCTACACCTTGGGGGGAAAATCTTTGAGAAAAAAGCTTTAAACGGACTGTTCAATGAATGATAAATTAAAGATGGCTAACACTATTGAAGTGGCTTTGCTTTTGAATCAACCTGTTTAGTTTAACAAGCATGGTGCCTGAATTTCGTGTGTGTGTGTGAGAGAGAGTAGATGAATAAGTGAGTGAAGGTGGGAGAGAGTGAATGAGTGAGTTAGTGAGTGAGTGAGTGAGTGCATGGAAGAGTAGGTAAGGGCGTGAAACAGCGTCAATAGCG